CTATGGTAAACTTGTCAAAGTGTGAAGACTATGGTAAACTTGTCAAAGTGTGAAGACTATGGTAAACTTGTCAAAGTGTGAAGACTATGGTAAACTTGTCAAAGTGTGAAGACTATGGTAAACTTGTCAAAGTGTGAAGACTATGGTAAACTTGTCAAAGTGTGTAGACTATGGTAAACTTGTCAAAGTGTGTAGACTATGGTAAACTTGTCAAAGTGTGTAGACTATGGTAAACTTGTCAACCAGAGGAGCTAAAATTCTCGGTTGTTACCATCAGCTTATGCAGTTAGCAGCTGATGTGTTTTAAATTTGGGAATGATTGCAACACAACTGTGAAATAGATGAGCAGAGAGATATTTGATGCTTGGTGCGGCTGTGTTGGTGACCACATCAGGCCCAAGATGTAAAGCGAGCCCTGATTGGCTTGTTAAAAAACTAGTGCTTGGCTCTGTAGCATGTAATGGTTCTTTAGGAGTGACGTGGGCAGGGTTGTGGTAGGTGGGGTTGTAACCTCCCCATTGCGACAACTGTCGTACGTCAAAGCTCACGCCGACGACAACGGTTTCAATGGTTACAATTTTAAAAGTTGTTTTCGTAAAACCACAACTTCATGTTTTTAAGATATATAAGATATATGATAGTATACGGGATGTACGATAGTATACAAGTCCGTTGATTGTTAAATCTTTTATTAAGTGTTAAGGCTTCATATTTGTGAAATTGTTTTTTTTTTCTATTCGTAAAATGATTTCTCTATAAACTAATCAGGTAAAAATCCTTCAAAATTCAAAAATAATTTCCCTCGTTTTGTAAACAGTTCGGACGGGTGTTGTTTCGCTTTTTACCGGTTACTGGTCCTTGTCTAAATGGTATTTTTTTTTATGTTTTTTCCTCTTAATGTAGACATTGGTTTAATAAATAATAAAGTGTTCTTTTAATTTTGCAATAGATTTTGTTAGCACCCCTTTAGGTTCGACTTCCCCCCCTCCTCTCTGTTAGCACCCCTCTATGGTCTACTCCCAGGGAAAAAGGAGGGTTGGCCGGCCAAGGAAAACATGGAAGAGAACGGTCGAGGAAGAGGCGAAAAAAGCTGGGCTCACATGGGCACAGATTAGGGGAGCAGCCCAAAACCGAGTCCGCTGGAGATGTGTGGTTGCAGCCCTTTGCTCCCCAGTGACCACAAAGGAATGATGATGATGATGGTCTACTCCCCTCTTTTAGCACCCCTCTAGTGTCGGCCCCCTCTTTTCTGTTTGCATCCCTCTAGGGTCGACTCCCCTGTTAGCGCCCCTCTTGCCCCCCCCCCCTTCGCTACACCGCTGTGACCCTGATGTTGTTCACGCCATCAGTTACCAAGTTGCACACAATGACTACTCACCATAAACAGAAATGATGTCCACATCAAATGACATCATGAAACGCGACCTCAAACTTTCGATTTTTATCCAGGAGAAGGTAATATAACTGGGTGGACATTCTAGACTTGCACAATGAATTGACCTTGACATTTTCTCTGAATGACCTTGATATTTTCAAACTATCCACGTTAAATAACCTGTCACTTAAATAAGTGTGATCTTTAAAATTCAGGACGATAGTGACATTACTTAGTTGGTGAATGTGTAACTAACACTGTCACTCAAACCTCGATGTCAACAGGCGTCTACAAAACTTGGTAACTAAAGACAGCTAGGACAGCAATGACAGTCTCAAAGGACAGTCTCAACGGACAGGGTGGAACAAATATTTTCGTTCATTGAAGGCCAAGGTCGTCAGACTTCGTCGTCTCAAAAGATTATCAGTTCAATAGGTGGGTGGGGCATTGGGACTGACGTGACACAGGTGAGTGGGGCCTTGGGACTGACGTGACACAGGTGGGTGGGGCCTTGGGACTGACGTGACAAAGGTGGGTGGGGCCTTGGGACTGACGTGACACAGGTGGGTGTGGCCTTGGAACTGACGTGACAAAGGTGGGTGGGGTCTTGGGACTGACGTGACACAGGTGGGTGGGGCCTTGGGACTTGCGTGACACAGGTGTGTCGGGACTTGGGACTGACGTGACACAGGTCGGTGGTGCCTTGGGGCTGACGTGACACAGGTGGGTGGGGCCTTGGGGGTGACTTGACACAGGTGGGTGGGCCTTGGGGGTGACGTGACACAGGTGGGTGGGGCCTTGGGACTGACGTGACACAGGTGGGTGGGGCCTTGGGGCTGACGTGACACAGGTGGGTGGGACCTTGGGGCTGACGTGACACAGGTGGGTGGGGCTTGGGGCTGACGTGACACAGGTGGGTGGGGCCTTGGGACTGACGTGACACAGGTGGGTGGGGACTTAGATGTGACGTGATACAGGTGGGTGGGGCCTTGGATGTGACGTGATACAGGTGGGTGGGGCCTTGGATGTGACGTGATACAGGTGGGTGGGGCCTTGGATGTGACGTGATACAGGTGGGTGGGGTCTTGGGACTGACGTGACACAGGTGGGTGGGGACTTGGGGCTGACGTGACACAGGTGGGTGGGGCCTTGGGGCTGACGTGACACAGGTGGGTGGGGCCTTAGGGCTGACGTGACACAGGTGAGTGGGGTCTTGGGACTGACGTGACACAGGTGGGTGGGGACTTGGGGCTGACGTGACACAGGTGGGTGGGGCCTTGGGGCTGACGTGACACAGGTGGGTGGGGTCTTGGGACTGACGTGACACAGGTGGGTGGGGACTTGGGGCTGACGTGACACAGGTGGGTGGGGCCTTGGGGCTGACGTGACACAGGTGGGTGGGGACTTGGGGCTGACGTGACACAGGTGGGTGGGGACTTGGATGTGACGTGATACAGGTGGGTGGGGCCTTGGATGTGACGTGATACAGGTGGGTGGGGCCTTGGATGTGACGTGACACAGGTGGGTGGGGCCTTGGGGCTGACGTGACACAGGTGGGTGGGGACTTGGATGTGATGTGATACAGGTGGGTGGGGCCTTGGATGTGACGTGATACAGGTGGGTGGGGTCTTGGGACTGACGTGACACAGGTGGGTGGCGTCTTAGGACATACATGACACAGGTGGGTGGCGTCTTAGGACATACATGACACAGGTGGGTGGGGACTTGGGGCTGGCGTGACATTGATGGGTTAAGCAGCAACATTAAAACGGCATAGTGTTGATGTCACGTAGTTGTCAGGAAAAAAATTTAATGTCACCGATGGAAGAGTCTACAGGTAAATAGTGCCGGTGTTACTAAAAATAGTTCCGTGTTAGTAAGGGTAGTGCCGGTGCTAGAAAATAGTACCGCAGTTAGAAAATAGTGCCGGTGCTGATGTTGCCCAAAGAAAAAAAAATAGAACTACCCATATCGCAATAAGTGCCATTATAATGGAACAATCGTCAAGTGCAATAACTAGCCCAACAGATCGTGAAACATGTTTTTTTTATAATAGAGAAATCTTTTATAAAGTAGAACTATGTCTCAATTATTCATTACACGTAAAACTTTGATTGTCTAGGAGTAGTATATTCTATTGTCGGAAAGAAAAAGTCAAATCAAATCGCTTAGATTTATGTCTGGCCCTAGAGAGCCTTCTGATAGTGGAACAGACATAATAGATCTTTTGGCCGGTCGATGGGGTGAGTGGGGGGTGGGGGGCAGCAAATATAAAAAGTTAGAACTATCATGTTACAAGGACGCATGTTGGACCGTCAGTCAAACAGAAGACTCACGAGCAAAGATTTCTGTATATTCACTTGTTTACTATTTAAGGCGTGGCCGATTGGTAGAGAGCTTGACTGCTAACCCGAAAATCTCGAGTTCACTACCGGGTTCAAGTCAGTCTTCCCAGCTCTGATTGGTACCTAACTCACGTGTCTGGGCATAGTGCTGGCCACAATATCCCTTCATATGCCGGGGTCCCTGAAACAGATGGACTCTACTTCATCTGTCCCGTGTGTCTTGGGCACGAACGGAAAAAGCTGCTGCTGAACTTGTTTATCGAAATTGACCAATTGTTCGAGTGGTTTTATAATCTGGACTTTTACATGACCAACTTTACTTGTAGCGTTTTCGCAATATTTTCAAATGACCAAAGACGCTTGCGTTACCGTCACGTTTAAATTGGTTGAGCCGAGAGATTGCTGAGCCGAGAGATTGCTGAGCCGAGAGATTGCTGAGCCGCTGAGCCAGGAGGTTGCCGCCTCACCATGCCCCCGCGTGCGGTGCTATCGCGAGAGTACGTGAAAATCCCGCGAGGTTTTGCTCGGTGTTTAACTAAGCCCTCGCCGTCACGCGAGCATTCTCAAGCTTTTGTTGTTGTTTTTTTCCGTAAATCAATTCCAAGGGGCGAAAAATTTCCGGCTACAAATGTCGTGATCGGTTCCGCCCTCGCGGCTGTCGTCCCCCGCCTCGCGCCGTCGTGTTCAATTCATGGCCTGTTTGATTGTTCTCACGCTCGCCTCATCTGACTGCTCACCCCGGCTGGTATAAGCACTCACTCATAGCGTCGCCTCGGCCGACTCGTGTTGCGGGTAGGTTAATTGTAGTGGTCTAGTTGTGTTGTGGTGTAATTATGTAGTGGCGTAGGTCTATAGTGAGGGTCGTTTTGTAGTGGCGTAGTTAAGCAATGGGGCTGCTAGTAAAGTAGCTGTTTGGGGTGGTAGTTATGTAGTAGGGCTGTTATGGGTGGGGTAGTTATTGTCGTAGTTCTGTAGTGAAGTAATTCTGTTTAAGGTTAGGTAGTGAGTTAGTATGATGGCACAGTTCTGTTTGAGAGTAGGTATGTAATCTTGTAGTTCTGTGAAAGTTTAGCTCTGCTGTGTGTTCGCTAACGATAACCAGATAGTCAACGGTATTCCAAACACCGTAACCATAAAGTCCCATAAGACAATGGTGTGACGAATGCTATGGTGCCGGGACATGGCTAATCTCATCCAACGTCTCGACATCAGATAAAACAACGCACAGTGATGGGACAGGCGTAGGACAAAGCAAACTTTACCGAGGATTTTACAACTAATTACTGTAGTTTCTTGTGCGCTAATCAAAAGGTGTTTTAAAAGTTGTTTTTAAATCGATGAATAAGGTAAGGATTGTGTTATGGATTTATCTTGAACAAGACCAGTGAGCCAGAGAATTGTTTTTAATGTCAGACATGCAAAAAATTTGTTCATTTCCTCTGCTATGTGGCTTTATACATTTTTAAAGGTGTCAGATTTTAAAATTTGAAATGTAATATTTTAAGAATGTACGTCATAAATTGTGAAAACATTTTTATTTCTCTAGAGTCTTTATATTTTTGTTTACAGATAAATATACAACACGTTTCATGGCTGTTATGAAACAGAAAAAGTATATTAATTATTAATCGTAAACAGTATTGTCAATATACCCGAAAACTGGGTCCAAAATAAAAATAATCTATGTTGTGCTGTAACTAAGTTAATGTTATGTGCACCTCTTACGGTGACGGTGATGTAGACCCTGAGATTTTGTACCAGTGATGTAACTAATTTAAGGGTGTGTACCCAACCCTCTTGTAGAGGTTGACCAATCGAACTCACGCGTTTATCTGACCTGCCGTTCTAGCATGCCCAAGCTTGTGACCTTGACCCCATTCTTCAGGCCAACCGGTGCAGGTTACTCAGCCAGTCAAGCGTGACGACATGCTCACTGTAAAGTGCTGTGAGCTGACAATCTGCGGAACCTGACGAAGACAATTGTTCCATTACCGTTTCCCACGTTTTAATCGCGTAAATTTACACAATACTGCATTTATTAACCCTATCAATACTGCCATCATTAACCCTTACAATACTGCAATCATTAACCCTTAATATCCTGATAACATTAACCCTTACAATACTGCCAATATTAAACCTATCAATACGGCATTCATTAACCCTTAATATCCTGACAACAGTAACCTTTACTACCAGTACTACCTATTACTGCCAACAGTAACCTTTACTACCAGTACTACCTATTACTGCCAACAGTAACCTATACTACCAGTACTACCTATTACTGCCAACAGTAACCTTTACTACCAGTACTACCTATTACTGCCAACAGTAACCTTTACTACCAGTACTACCTATTACTGCCAACTTTAACCTTTACTACCAGTACTACCTATTACTGCCAACAGTAACCTTTACTACCAGTACTACCTATTACTGTCAACAGTAACCTTTACTACCAGTACTACCTATTACTGCCAACAGTAACCTTTACTACCAGTACTACCTATTACTGCCAACCGTGACCTCTGAACCCGTGAGTACCCACCACCTGTAATAGTGTGTGTGCTTCCAGTGTGTTAGGTTCTGGAACCTTCCAAATCCTGTCTTGTACCAACACTGAGTGTTAAAGTGTGTGTGCTTCCAGTGTGTTAGGTTCTGGAACCTTCCTGTCTTGTACCAACACTGAGTGTTTAAGTTTTGTGAGTAGACCAACACACGCAAATTATAATTACCTTGTTTGTTGTTGTTTTTAATCGAGAACCAATCTACGGGATTTTGTTTTCTTAAGCTAATTGGTGCATTAGACAAATGTTTCGTTCAATTATTTAGGAAGGATATTTAGGAAGGAAATGGAAAAACTTATTTTTCAATTATCGCCCTCTATAACAATAACACATGTTTTAAATGTGTATTCATAATTTATCTTCATTGTTTAGGTGCTGTTGTACTTGTAGGATATTATGTTAGTGTTTTGTTAAAGTATGATTTAGGTTAAGATAGTGGACTTACATTGTTTTGTTAAAGTATGATTTAGGTTAAGATAGTGTAGGCTACTTACATTGTTTTGTTAAAGTATGATTTAGTTTAAAACAGTGGACTTACGGTGCTTTGTTAAAGTGTGAATGGACTACTAAAGTATGAAACCATACTTGTCGAAAATATAATGACAAGTCTACAGTACATGTCTTCCGATATTCACTACGTCAAGTTCTGAGTATCTATTCTCTGTATCTGTCCTCTGTATCTGTCCTCTGTATCTGTCCTCTGTATCTGTCCTCTGTATATGTCCTCTGTATATGTCCTCTGTATCTGTCCTCTGTATCTGTCCTCTGTATCAGTCCTCTGTATCTGTCCTCTGTATCAGTCCTCTGTATCTGTCCTCTGTATCTGTCCTCTGTATCTGTCCTCTGTATCTGTCCGCTGTATCTGTCCTCTGTATCTGTCCTCTGTATCTGTCCTCTGTATCTGTCCTCTGTATCTGTCCTCTGTATCTGTCCTCTGTATCTGTCCGCTGTATCTGTCCTCTGTATCTGTCCTCTGTATCTGTCCTCTGTATCTGTCCTCTGTATCTGTCCTCTGTATCTGTCCTCTGTATCTGTTCATTATAAACCCATGACTTCAGATACTTTTATTTTTATAAACCAATGACTTTTGATATTTACTTCTATTTTTATAAACCAACGACTTTTGATATTTACTTCTATTTTTATAAACCAATGACTTTTGATATTTCTATTTTTATAAACCAATGACTTTTGATATTTCTATTTTTATAAACCAATGACTTTTGATATTTCTATTTTTATAAAGACCAAACCCCTTTTATTTAAGTCTTCCCTCCACTCCATTGAGTCTATTCATCAAATCGGTTTTACGAGGCCACAATCATACGCCTGGGGGCGTCGCGTTTGTTTTGTTTCCCTTGAAAGAAAGCGAACAAGCCTTGCAATCACTAGAACACTAATGGCTCTTTTGCAGTGTTTGTCGTCCGGCTACTTTTAGCAGTTATCGATACTGTTTCCTTACAGCGACACCATGACCTTATAGTTTTCTGGTATCGATACTGATCTCTTACAGCGACACCATGACCTTATATTTTCTAGTATCGATACTGTTTCCTTGAAACGACGCCATGACCACATCATATTCTGGTATCAATACTCCTTCTTTAAATCGACACCATGACCTTATAATTCTCTGGTGTCGATACTGTTTCTTTACAGCGACACCATGACCTTATAATTTTCTGGTATCGATACTGATCTCTTACAGTGACACCATGACCTTATAGTTCTCTGGTATCGATATTACTTCATTAAATCGACACCATGACCTTATAATTTTCTGGTATCGATACTAATTTCTTACAGTGACACCATGACCTTATAATTCTCTGGTATCGATACTACTTCCTTAATGCAACACCATGCCTATATAATTGTATGGTATCGATACTTCTTCCTTAAAGCAACACCGTGACTCTATAATTTTACGGTATCGATACTACTTCCTTAAAGCGACATCTTGACCTTACGATGCCCAAGAAGTACTTTAGAAGTGCCGTATCCGTATACAAGCCATGTACTTGCCAAAGGTATTGAACAGTTTAAGCACGCTTAGGGGATTACCGTTTTCTCCTCCATAACTAATCTATAGTGGCATTTTTCTTTCATTATTTGACTCGAGGTGTTCAAATAATTTTCAATGTTTTAGCGTGTGGATTTGTATGCTTTTGTGAATTTTGAATTTCGCTTTAGGTGTGAGGGTCTTTTGTGGCGTGTGGGCTTTGATAAATGAGGATTCTGTGGCGTGTGGTATTTGATGAATTGGGATTTTATAGGTGTTGGTACTAAAAAAAATTGATTGTTCTTGTATTGTCAGTAAGTTCCTTCGACAACTTTGTCTGTCAAAAATCCGATAAACGCCCTTTGTCAAAACCTTTAAAACTCTCCTAAACCAAGCACTCAAAATCAATATTTATTTCAAATATTGAAACTTGTGTATCAGAGCCATCCCATTCTAATATTGAAATGGTACCAATATCCCAACAAATTTCCGTACTTTAAAAATCGCCTAATGTAATTGGAATCTAGTAAAGCTGCTAATTTGATTGAAATAATGACGAGGTTTCTTACTTTATCGGATGCTTTAAATATTACATGTTATGTTTTTAATCAAATCAAAATATAATATAATCAAACTTCCTCGCCCAAAGATGTTTAAATTAAAGCACTTTTAGCTTCTATCGCCTGCTATCTCAAGGCAAACAACGAAAAAAGACATTAAACTTGCGCGGTTTTTTTTAATATTACGAGGCACAAAAAACTTAATCAACCTCAGCTTTTGTCATAAAATGTCTAGCTCTGTCTTGAAAAACAAATGTGTGTTCGTTTATGTGTGCGTGTGTCTGTATGTGCCCAAATGTGTCCGTTTCTGTTCGCATATGTATGTGTGTGTGTCTGTATGTGCGTTTATGTGTTCGTTTCTGTTTGTATATGTGTGTGTGTGTGTGTCTGTGAGCTTGAGACACAACAAAGCAGCAACACAATGCTTAACTAAAACACAATTTTATTCATGTTTTTTTTTCCAAACCTTTCAGACCTCCCTCCTCTACGCTGTATGTGTAAGGCACCTCGACCTATATGAGTGTCTGAGAGTGCCAAGAACTTGTAGTATAAGCACCAATGTCAGCTATAGACTTAACATCGTCTACATGGAGGAGACTTTAAACATTGAGACTCGCGAGACGGTAGGTCTTTGCTGTGTTAGCATGGCGTCAGTGTTTCGACGTGTCAGCGGCTGTTAAAGGTCACGTGTGCATTTATCAAGGTCAGCAGCCTGTTTGTTCAGGTGGGCTGTCGTTACACCTGCCCAACAGCATGCGGCACCTACAGCAGGCAGAGTTCGAGCGGGACCTCATCATCAGCAGCATCGAGCCCAACCGTTCCCTCAACGCTTCCTACGAGCTGGGGCAGACGCTGGGTCCCAACTCCAGCCTGGGGACCACCACGGAGGGGGTGGACCCGGACGAGCAGTTTGACCAGGCCTTCGAGCACGCGCAGGTAGCCATCATCCTGATGTACACGGTGCTGTGTGTCGTGGCCGTGCTCGGCAACTCGTGTGCTGTCTACGTCATCATATCCAAGCGCAGCATGAGAAAAAATGTCACCAACTACTTCATCGCTAGTCTGGCTGTCAGTGATATTCTTATAGGGCTCGTCTGCATTCCGTTCACGTTTGTCGCGAACGTACTGTTCAACTACTGGCCTTTTGGTAGTGCCTTGTGCCCCATAGTGACCTACCTCCAAGTGGCTGTTGTGTTCCAGAACTCATACACGATGCTGGCGATGAGTTTAGAGCGTTATATCGCGATTATCCACCCCTTTATGAGAAGACTTGGTAAACGACGCTGTCTTCAAGTGGTAGCGTTGTGTTGGGTGCTGGCGTTCTTGACGCCCCTCCCCACCGCCATCCTGTCCAGGACCTCTGAGATAGAAAACACCACCGTGTACCTGTGTGAGGAGAAGTGGGGGTCGGAGCACCAGCGGTTCTCCTACAGCATGACCATCATGGTGCTGCAGTACTTCGTGCCCCTGGCAGTGCTGGTGTACACGTATGCCAGGATAGTGAGGGTCATCTGGCTCAAGGAGCTGCCCACACCGGCAGAGCTGCTCAGCCAAAACGGAAAGTCGGAGAGAAAGGCCAAGACAAAAAATCAGGAACCAGATCCCAGGAAAAAGGTAGGATAATTTCTTTAGCGTTAAAACATATCATCGTTATACAAACATATCATTATCGCTACACAAACATATCATCATCGTTATACAAACATTTCATCATCGTTATACAAACATTTCATCATCGTTAAAACATATCATCATCGTTATATAAACATTTTTAATCGAGGCCGTTGAAAAGAAAGAGGTCCTTCTGTGACAGGTTTAAAATATTAAGTTCCCTCTAGTTAAATTTAAAATGTTAGTTCCCTCTGGTCTGATTAAAAAATTTATAAGTTTCACCAGGGGAACAAACCAATCAATGATTTAATTGGCGGTTAGCTGCTAATTATTTAATTAGTTGTATCAACTATATATGTGTAACCCTCACTCAGCAGGGATGCTTTTACCCACTGAGGTGTTGTGGTTAAGACGGGCTGACCCTGAGATTAAGTACACACTGACACCGACAGTTGTTGTCAAGTACACGCTTTATTTACAGCATCGAGCCATGACGGCGATGCAACACAGTAGTACCAAACAAACTAGCCAAGATGAAAAAATACCAAATCCAAAACCAAAACCAATCTGTAGCCGTAAAACAAATGTAAAAAAAAAAAGTTACATTCCTGACAACACCATGTGTAGGCTACAATATACACGGGTAACAATAAAATATGTTTTGGCCAGTACACAGTACTGCCAACAAGTACCAATAAGTAGTACTACAAATAAATACTTATATTAATACTCACCCTAACTAGTGTGCACATGCAGCACTAGCAGGAATACACAAATAAGTATTTTAACAAACATAATCTATATAACTACCTTCATTAGGTCTACATCTTGGTCACCGTGTCCACAGACAGCAGGCTTGCGTGTGCGACACGGCTAGGCATGAAACTACCCACAGTCCCATGTCACATGACATGGGACACATGTAACATCGCTCACAAAAGCATGAATAATAATCATTAAAAAAGTTTTTAAAAACCCACGTTTTCTGATTGAACTAAAAAGTAGAAAATAAACGCTATACATCACAATAATGCAAGCGATCACTCTACTATAAACGATGAAAAACGTGGGGCGCCGAAGTAAAAGTTATATTACTATTGATTAGATAATACTATTGACTTTTATTAGGGAGCTTGTAGAGAGTCAACAGTATTAGAAACTGTAAGAAAATCACGGCGCCCCACGATTTTGATCGCTTATAGTAGAGTGATCGCTTGCATTATTGTGATGTATAGCGTTTATTTTCTACTTTTTAGTTCAATCAGAAAACGTGGGTTTTTTAAAACTTTTTTAATGATTATTATTTTCTACTTTTTAGTCTTTGTCTGTTTGTTTGCATTAAAATCTTGCTATCGATTTTATCTTTTCACTTTTTTTGGGTAAACGAAGACAACTCGTAAAAAGACAACTCGTAAAAAACACGTTGTGTGAATACGTTACTGACTAGAACACATAGAATTGAACCCGTGTCGAGTGGGATAGCAATCGTGTGCCCAACCACTCGACCATATCGTCTCCCCCAAACTGGCCTACCTCCTGTAAGTTTTAAGTCGGTTCAAACTAAATTATCTGCCCCTAAGCCTGTCGCGTCGTGGAATCGTTCGCTTCACTGCGCGCGAGCTACGCGTCGCTGGTTTTTTTTCTAATGGCTCGCAGAGGAGAATTATATACATAGATTATATAGCGGTCTAAAATGCTCAATAAAATGTTTCCATTGATCAATTTAGTAATAATAACAATTGCATATTCTATGGTCATCCAAAAGAAAGCTTCCCTGAAAATTTCAGCGCGCTAGCTAACTGGGAAGTGCCAGAAATTTCGATCGCAAGATTTGATTGGAAAGACAAATAAACAAACAAACAGAGAAAGCAAGTTAAAGAAAACGTGGGAAAAAAACAACTACGTCCACAGAGCCACAGCCCCACAGGGGCCGCAACTCAATGAATTAAAACTTCATATTTTTATCCCCCTTGGCTGGTAACCATATGTGTTACATATGTTACCCGGTTGTATATGGAATTGACTAGATCATAGACCTTTTTACTGTAAACAGCCAGAATCAAAGCATCTTCGTTTGTCCCAATGGTATCAATCGTACACTCAATGCACCCCCCTCCCCCTTACGCCTCTCAACTGTTGCCTTTTCACCCCTCGTTATACAAAGCTAGCCATCTATCTCCCACACAGATAATCACCTCAGCTTTATAACACCCGTAGTCTCTCAATATACCACCTCTAGACCACCTCCAGCGAATGAGACCCCCCCGCCCTAACCGCACCCTGGTAGTAGGTCGTAACTCTGTGATGATTAACAATGTTCACCATCAATGGGAGCTACCAGTGTTGAGACCACATATGTTAACCACATTTGTTAACCACAAATGTTGACCACAAATGTTGACCACAAATGTTGACCTCATAAGTTGACCACAAATGGTGACCACCAATGATGACTACCAATACTGACCGCCACTATAGAACTCCTGACTACTGGAAGAGTTGTCTACAAGACACTTCCTGTATGAGTTTCCCCTTGTCTAGTCACGTGATACGGGCACGCCAAGGGCCACTACTCCTGCCATACATGCGTGACCATCTGATTGATCACCAGCGATCAGCTGATCTGTGTGTTCAATAATTAACAGAATCGACACAGCTTCTGTGTGTAATGAGCTGGGCCAACTAATGACGTGTCTGTGGTCGATCTCTAAGGAAGAGAGAAAACGGTCTGTGACTGATCTATTGGGAGGTTCGCTAATCCTTCGACTGGGGTGTTTCTGGCTGCTATGTAGGAGTGGGAGGACTACAGTGGTGGGTGGCTACCACCTAATGAAGGTTCAGGCCAAGATAGTTGTGGCTATAATGTAGCAACGGCAACTTTTAAGGTGGTTTTCGATGTAGGAGTGGGCTACATTTAAATGTGGCTACCACCAAGTGAGGGTCGATGATAAGATAGTTTTGGCTACTATGTAGGAGTGGTTAGGACTACAGTGAAGTGTGGTTTAGGCAAAAGATCTTTGTGGTTACCCTTAGAAAAGACTGTTGCAAAATTAATATTGTGGCTATTATTTAGTGAGGTCTACTTTTGATGTCACCGCTTCCTTGTTGTAAATAAGATGGTGAGGAGTTGTGTGTGTGTGTGGGGGGGGGGCGGGAGCAGTATATCAGCAATTTCTCAAGCGATCTATTTTTATCGATAATTAGCTGTGTGTGTATTTAAGTGTGTGTGTATTTAAGTGTGTTTATATTTAAGTGTGAGTGTATTTAAGTGTGTGTGTGTATTAAAGTGTGTGTGTGTGTAAATGAATGAAATGTGCCAGTCTAGTACCCCACAACATGGTGTTTGATGTAATTTTGAGGGACCTTGGATGTGATGTAATGATGGGAAACATTGGCTGAGGTGTAATATCGGGGAACATTGGCTGTGATGTAATGTTGGGGAACATTGGCTGTGATGTATTGTTGGGGAATAATTGGCTGTGATGTATTGTTGGGGAACATTGGCTGTGATGTATTGTTGGGGAACATTGGCTGTGATGTATTGTTGGGGAACATTGGCTGTGATGTATTGTTGGGGAACATTGGCTGTGATGTATTGTTGGGGAACATTGGCTGTGATGTAATGTTGGGGAACATTGGCTGTGATGTAATGTTGGGAACATACGAACCACAGAAGAACCTGTTTTTTTTTTCGTTCAACCGATAATGTGTTTAATTGATCTACTGTTACCTTTGATTGATTTCACTAATCGATATTACTACTCTACTCTTGTTATTTTATTCTCTTGAAAACTTCTCCCCGTGTCGCCACGTTCACGGGGAGAGAACTCTAGGAAATTGTCATAGAGGGGAAATAACTTTGGCTTGTGAAAAAGTAAATGAATTCCTGCCGCTTTGCTTTTGTGATAAAAAGTAGCTTCGTCAATAGACTCCACTCCAATAACGATCTGGGTTTGAAGCTACCATTAGGTAGCGGTTAGCTAGTTCTCTCATCTCCCCTTACATAAAGAAAAGGTCAAAGTGAGGTTTACAGGGTTCGAACTGTGAAACGTAAGTTCAACTAGCGAATACAACACGCCAACTAGACTTCTAATGTACAACACTTCAACTAGACTTCTAATGTGAGCAACGCTTGAACTAGACTTCTAATGTGAACAAAACGTGAACTAGACTTCTAATGCGAACAACACTTGAACTAGACTTCTAATGTGAACAACACTTGAACTAGACTTCTAATGTGAACAACACTTGAACTAGACTTCTAATGTAAACAACACTTCAACTAGACTTCTAATGTAAACAACACTTCAACTAGACTTCTAATGTGAACAACACGTCAACTAGACTTCTATTGTGAACGACACTTCAACTAGACTTCTAATGTGCAACACTTCAACTAGACTTCTAATGTGAACAACACTTCAACTAGACTTCTAATGTGCAACACTTCAACTAGACTTCTAATGTGAACAACACTTCAACTAGACTTCTAATGTGAACAACACGTCAACTAGACTTCTAATGTGCGACACTTCGACTAGACTTCCAATGTACAACACTTCGACTAGACTTCTAATGTGAACAACACTTGAACTAGACTTCTAATGTACAACACTTGAACTAGACTTCTAATGTACAACACTTCGACTACACTTCTAATGTACAACACTTCGACTAGACTTCTAATGTACAACACTTCGACTAGACTTCTAATGTACAATACTTCGACTAGACTTCTAATGTGAACAACACTTCATCTAGACTTCTAATGTGAACAACACTTCATCTAGACTTCTAATGTACAGCACTTCGACTAGACTTCTAATGTACAACACTTCGACTAGACTTCTAATGTGAACAACACTTGAACTAGACTTCTAATGTGAACGACACGTCAACTAGACTTCTAATGTACAACACTTCGACTAGACTTCTAAGGTACAACACTTCGACTAGACTTCTAATATGAATAACACTTGAACTAGAC